AACTGTCCCCCCCCGTGCCCTAAAATCACCCACACCACAGTGCGAGAGGAGTGAGGCGTGCAGAGAGAAAGGGTGGGGTGTATTTGGTTACCCGCATACACTGGAAAAAGATGTGGCCTTGTTCCCCTGATAAAGCAGAAGTGCTTTGCTACTCGAGAAGATGGTTTTAGAGAGAAAGGGCAAAATGTGCATTTTGGGGACCCCTGGTTCCGTGTCAATAAAACCCCAAAGAGGCAGAGAGGAGCTCGGTTCATTGCCGTTTATTGCAGGTCGTGCAGGGGCTCAAAGCCACCGAGATCGAGAGTTCTGAGGACCCATCAGCCTGGGAGGAGCCGTGGCCTCCCCCCGCACCCACCCTCGCTGGCCCAAAGACCCCCCAGGACCCCGCAGGCGGCTGGGGGTGTGATAGGCGTTCCTCCCTATCCCAGGATGGTTTTGGCTGGGGCAAAGAGAAGCCAGGTGAGGTTGCGATGCTGTCCCGGTTTTGGCTGGGATAGAGTTAATTTTCTTCCTAGTAGCTGGCCTAGTGCTGTGTTTTGGATTCAGTACCAGAAGAATGTTGACAACACACGGATGGTTTTAGTTGTTGCCAAGTAGTGCCCAGACTACTCAAGGACTTTTTGAGCTTCTCCTGCTCGGCCAGGGGCATATCAAGCTGGGAGGGGGCACAGCTAGGACAGCTAACCCAAACTGACCACAGAACTATTCCAGCCCATGGAACGTCGGTCGGTCGCGGGCAGAGTGATCACGGCTTGGGGGGGAGTGATCGCAGCTCGGGACAGGCTGGGCATCGGTCAGTGGGTGGTGAGCACTTGCATTGTGCATCACTTGTTTTATATATTCTGTATATTCTCTTACCATTATTATTATCACTAGTGTCATTCTTCTCTCTTATTAAACTGTCTCTATCTCAACCCACAGGTATTACTTTTTTTTCTTTCCTCTGATTCTCTCCCCCATCCCACTGAGGGGGGGGGGAGTGAGCGAGCGGCTGCGTGGTGCTGAGTTGCCAGCTGGGTTAAACCACGACAGATGCCCTGGGGGCTTTCCCTTAGGACAAGCCCAATGCACCCCCAGTGCCGGGATGAAACCTGCTGGAATCAAGGCTTAAAGGTGCCAGAGCCGTGAGGGAGAAATTTGTGGGGAGATCTGAGCCGGCACTCAAGCGCTTTGATGGGGGGGTTGGGGACAGCTCCACCACAGCTACCTGCTCTGAACCCAGGATGAAATTCGGGGCTGGGAGGGCAGCGCCCGTCTGCAGCTTTCTGGGGGTCTGGGACTTAAAGCAAGGCCCGGGGTAGTTTCCATATCCCGGTATGAATTTACGCGGAAGGAGGCAATAGAGGCTTTACCTCTCCTTGTCCGCCCAGCTGGAGCCGCGTCCCTTCAGCCAGCCCTGAGTCGTGTGATCTGCAAAACGACAACTCTGTTCCCAGGCACAGGAGAAAGCGCCCGGGAGGCACCGGACACGCGGCAGGGG